TGCACCGTGGATAAGAAATAACCGGAATTTATATCCTTACTTCAAGGTAAATTCAGAACCTTTTCAGTTTTTAATGTGTCCTACACCGTTAATTTGAACAAAAAGTACCTCGATTGTTGAAATTCTATCTGTTATTCATAGGACTGCATTGGTGCAATTGACGGGACTATTATACCTGCGTGGGTGCCAGAAGGACAACAGGGTTCCTACAGATGTAGGAAAGGGTATTTGGCACAAAATGTGATGTTGGCGTGCGATTTTGACCTGAAGTTCACTTTTGTTCTAGCGGGATGGGAAGGCAGCGCAAACGATGCACGCATTTTCAATCAGACGTTGTCAGACCCTAGATATAATTTCCCCTATCCACCGCCCGGTAAATTCAACATGACACGATTAAAATGTTATACTGTAGTTTAGGTAAATACAACTTAAAATCTATTTATAAATTCCTTCCATTAAGTAGAAAAAAAATATGTTCCTGCAGGTAAATTCTACGTGGTCGACTCCGGATATGCACACATTCCGGGTTTCATGACACCATACCGTGGTGAAAGATACCATCTTCCGGAGTGGTTGGGGTCTAACCAATTGCCTGGAAATGCTCGTGAGTTGTTTAACAGGCGACATGCCACTGTCCGTAATGTTATCGAACGCAGTTTTGGTTTGCTAAAGGGGAAGTTTCCAATGATAAAGGGGTTGATGCCAAACTACAAAGTTCATTCCCAAACCGACATAGTAATAGCATGTTGTGTCCTACATAATTTTATTCGGATGCATGAACCGCTAGAAAACATGCCGCCTGAATTCAACAACCCGGAATACGTACGACGACATGATCCAACTGATCGGACTTTCCCTTTTATGTCGAGTAATAACTCCAACGTCGGCGGTGGTGAGCATTGTGTGTTGCGTGACAGCATAGCCCAAGCGCTGTGGGAGAACCGAAGATAAGAACATCGTATTTATTGATAAACCTGTTGTATGCGCACTTCTATTAATTAAAAGCAAAATAGACCAATACCGTATTTATTGATAAACCTGTTGTATGCGCACTTCTATTAGTTTTGACATGTTTTTGGAGTAAGTGTCATGATTAAAATCATCTTTTGATTTTAAAAAATTATACTGTATTGTGGTCTCTGTGGAAAAATGAATTTTAAAAATTATACTGTATTATAGTTACGGGTTAGGCCAAGTTTGACATTATAATTAATATAAATTTTATTATAAATTAATAGTTATAAATAATTGCAACTAAAACAAAAAATTGAAGTAACCAAAAAAAAAAA